CCATGATATTTAACGCTCCCCTCCAAACCATTCCTGCTAACAGGGTTGTGGAAGTCTACCTTTGTACCACTCATTTTCATTTGCTGCCATGAGAAGGGATATTGATCTGTGTATCTCTGCTCACACAGCAAGGCTTCCCATTTTGGAGCTGTGATATTGTCGGACTAAGAGGACAAGGTAAAGATCAATGATTTCTAACAATGATCACTTTTAAGAGGGAGTGCATCGGTAAAATGACTTACTGGTCCAAGTATCGCATCTGCAGTCTCTGCAACCAGTTCTATATCCTGGCAGGCATTAACACTCTTGCTGTAGATAAAAGCAGTATATTGGGAGGGAATCATCCATTTTAAAAATTTTATTGGCTATGGCATGTGATGGTATAGACCATACAGGGCTTAAGAGAAACCACACAAATGGAGCAGGATGCAGCTGACAGTCTAGCAGTGCCCACACCAAACAGTGTAAGAAGTGTCATGGCACTGGTAGGGCTGGGGCTCCCCAGGGACATCCCACCACTTCAGCCAAGGAGCAGGGCAGCCGGGGGGGCACCGGGAGCAGCCCCAGCCCTGGGCATCGGGTACCTCCCTGGTGCAGCGGGGTACATGACCAGTCAGGGAAGCGCTGTCAGGAGCTGGAGACTGGCACTGCTGCAGCATCGCTGGGGCAGGGACTGATAGCCCTGGGGGGCTGAAATGGGGTCCTAGGACCTGGGCAGGGTGGAAGGAGCCCCAGGAGATGCTGGATAGGGACAGTCAGGGCTGGTGGTGCCCTCAGAGCCCTGAAAAGAAGTTGTAGAAGTAGGCTCAAGAAACATTTTAATTTCTAGGGATTTGGAAACTGGCTCACTCCACAGGGATTTTTCATTTTAGTTTGTGGCCTCCAGAACACCCAGTAGCAACATGCCTCATGGTTTAATTACCACTGTGTGAAGTACTCAAGTACTGTATTTGCCAATCTTTCTCTGAATGGCCCTTTGTTAGCTTCTGGAGACACACAAAGAAAAGGTGTTCCCGACAGACCTCTTCTGGTACATGTTACTCCAGACACTTTGATCAAGTCCTTTCTGAGTAAATTTCATTTCTTGAAGCCACTACGAAGCCCATTCTCCCAGGAAACCTTGTAAAACCCGTTATCAGTATCTGCTCTGGCAGCAAACAACACACTCACCTTATAACCCTCCTACATCCTGTATCTCTGCCCAGTTTGGGGAACTGTCAGGATGAAAACCAATGCAAGAAAGCAGAGAGAGGACTGAGAACTACAAATCTTCCTCTGACAGCCCTGGAAGATGAGAGATCCCTGAGAAAAGGACAAGGACGGTAGGAGAGGTACAGAATACCCAAGCACACAGTCAGGCCTGCTCTGCAAGGAAACTTGCTGCGGAAGGCCTCTGGCCAGCCCAGAAGAGATGCAGGGGAGAAGAGATCCTTTGCAGTGAGGGGCACCAAAGGCAGAAGCAGAGGTGACCAGAAGGGAAGCAGCAAGGCACGCCTGCAAGGCAAGGAGGAAGAGAAACAGAGAGAAAATACATGCCAGTAAGCACACGTGCACAGCCAGGATGGACGGCAGCCTGTGCTGGGTGGTGATGGATAACCTCATGCCCTGAGCAGTAAATGAAAGGGTGAGTGATTCCTTTTAAAAAGGGCAGTAAAGGATGGCAGAGAAAATAATCAAATGTGCATCCTCACTCGCCTCTGCAGGTTAGGTAGAGAGGTGGAAGCTCTGTGACTACCAGACAAGTGACTTTATTGAGGAACTGTGTCCCATTTGCAAAATTGGAGGCTATGATCCTGACCTTCCCTCTAGAGCATTTTCATATCTACAGATAGAAATCACCAGCAATAGGTGGTGATTCTGATCGTTATTTTTTCTGCTTTCTGACAAGAGGAGCGTACAAGCATTTCCAGATGAAGTGCGTGTGCACGTTTAATATTAATTTATGGCAAGTAGTCATGTGCAGCCTTGACATTTGTTTTCCATGTATACTGGCAACAGGAAACTTGAGCCTTTGAATGTTTATGAAATGAGCACACATGCAAACAATGCTGACAGAAGATGATTGTCTTTAAAACCTGCCTATTTTCACTTCTTTTGCATTTCTCATTTGTCCTTATTCAGCACATTTTAACCTGCAAACATTATCCTCAAAAGGTCATAGGAAACACAGATTGTCAAATAAAGCTGAGGCACTGCAAAGATGCTACTTAGTAACACATACAGACTGAGACTGATAGAGATACATGGAGAGAAATCTTGAAGAGGTCTGACCATAGTGTAAGGTCTGATAAAAGAATCCTCCACTCATCAGTGGGGACCCTCAGCTCTATCTCCACCATAAACTAGAAGACCAACTTAAAAAGAGAAAGTCATAACAATTATCAAATGCGAACCAGCCCCATGGAACAGCCTCTTATATCTGTACCTCCAGATAGTCCATTGCAGCAAGATGGTACAAAACTCTTCAGTCTGAGTGACACAGTCTAAAACTCAGGACTGACTCCTTCACTGAAGGACTGTCAACAAACACATGTAGAGCAGCTACAAGGCATCAAAGTCTATTTGTTCTGCAGAGCTCTTGGGGAAATCCCTCCTGATAGTGGTCCTCAGGATGACTGAGCTACAAAGCTGGTGGGTACCAGTGACCACTCCAACACCTGCTCTCTCTCTAATGATCTCAAATCCCTCAGTCTCAGGGGGAAGCAAGGTAAATCTAAAACACAGACAGAGAGAAGGTGACTCTCTCCTGGAGAGAGAAATAAGCTCTTTGGAGTGCCCCATCCAGCAGTTCTTGTTCATGGGAGATACTCAAGGGAAGAAAGGAGAAAGTCAGATGAACACCTTTTGCTCCTTCTTTGTAAGGACTGCTAAGCTATTTTGCATTAGAGAGATGTTCCTTTGTCAAGGATAACTCCATGGCCATCAGATCTCTTTTAGCAATGTCATGCATGGACGTTTATCACTTACTGTGTTAGACCTTGCCTGAGCTTGATCCCCTTAATATCAAGCAAGAGTGACTTGTAGTGTCTAGTCCAGGTGTTATGCCATTTGTGTGCTCTGGGTTCTGGGCACAGAAACAGAGGAACCAAATCTTGAGGCTGTTTGTTTCCTCATCAGTTGTTTTAATGAAGCAGAATAATTCCATTACTCTATACAGAGTGGACAGGCAGTCTATCTTGTCCTTCTGAGGTCTGTTTGCTTCTTCATAATTTGCAGTGGTGATCTTGAAAAAGCTGGTATAGTTTACAACAAGGTACTCTTCAGAAAGGAGATACATTGCTGAGAATTAGTTGCTTAAGCAGGCCACTCTCCCCATCATCCAGTTCAAAAGGCCTGTAAGCTAATTTCCACTCCACCTGGTGTCCTAAGTCCGTGTCAGTCTGATGTTTCAGTAAAGGAGTTCATTCATTTTATTCACATCCTTAAAATTCCAGCTACACCTTGGTATCCAGTGACCCTGGTTGCCTTGGCTGCAAAGAGATGGCAGGGGCATTTCAGGATCTTGTGCCAGCAAATGAAGCTGTATTAGAATGAAACAGGGAGGAGGATGCTGTGTTTCTCCAGGAAAGAAATTATGCAGGACACTAGCAACATCTTGCAAGACAAGCAGATTTCCAGGTATTGTTTCAGATACTGGCAGTGTCTGAAATATCACAGGATGATGATGCTTTGACTACTTTTGCACTTCAGTATCTCCGCCAGGAGACAATTCACAAGGTGCTTACATTGAAAAGCAGGCAACAGCTGGCTGGACTTTAGGATTTCACAGCAGCAATGGTCCATAGGAATGATCCAACCACGAGGCACAAGTGTGTACTTGAAGACTTTGAAACATGTCTTATGAACAACTGTGGCTCACCCCTCAAGATAGCGTTTCAGCTGGATCGATAAAGACTCAGTTCAGAGAAGTGATGGGGTAATATACATCTTGCTGAGTTTGTCAGACACTAGACTTCTTTGATGATATTGCTGCTCCCTGATCTGTCTCTCCTGCCCCATCGTGCAACAGGCACATCTTTTTCTCCCTAAGGCCGACGTTGACGGATCCTCAAGGACTTTTCGAGACACCTTTGCAGCAAATTACATGGCATCATTCAGCAAGAGACAAAGGTCAAACAACCAGCTTGGGAGTGGCCTAGTAACATCATACTGCATGATTCTTAAAAAGGGTTCTAATAATGGGGATAACGTAAGGGACTGCCATAACAGCAAGCTGACAATTTAGTGTTGCTATGCAACTTGTGAACAGACTTTTGCAGTTGCTTCTTGTTTGTCCATTGACTGCTCAGTGACAGTGTCTGGCAACCTTCCCCCCTCATCACCTTACCTAAAGCAGCAAGAATTCATGTGCAGGTTTTGTGCCAAGGTGCCCTCTTCCAGCGACTAGGCTGAGCAAACTGAGATGCAGACACCTACAATGCTTTTTCCAATCTCAATGAGATTCCTGTTGTGCCGCACACACATAAACAGCTACATACATTCACACACATTTCTCCTTTCCTCTGACTCATTGCACATCTTCCTCTTTTTCCTCCTTTCCTACCCTAAGGTCATCATGTTGTCAAAGAAGAGCACTGTCTTTGAATGTTTTTCCTTTGCCACATCCCAGCTCTTGTCATGCCAGTTCACATTCTAACTTTTACATGAGATTCCTTCAGACCTTCTTAACTTTCTCCCAGCTGTTTTCTCAGACTCATACAAAGTGGGGATAGATATGGCTATTTGCCCCATCTCGTTTAATTCACCTGTCCTGATACTGCCTTGTCCTGTCTTCAAACTTTGACAAGTTTTAAAACCCTCAAGCAATGACGCCTGCAGCCCTTTCCTTGGGACTCTGACAGCCTGACAAAACTCAGTGGTTAGGGAAGCTGACCTGCTCACCTTCCTGGCTGAAACCTGACTACTCCTAGTGACATCTCTTTGTGCCACCCTCAAAAGCTCTCCCTTGCATGCTGGTATCACCTGAATATCAAGGTGATGGCTATTCTGCATCACTATTGACCGCTACTCATTCCCTATAACCCTTTGATATCACTTCCCAGACAACCCTTGCAGTCCTCACTCAGTTTGTTGCTTTTCTCTGAATTCCTTTGCTTTCCACAATCTGTTTTGTGGTGTTGCTGTGTGATGCTTAATAGCCGCAGCTCAGAGTTGGCTGCATTTCAGTGGTAGGTGGGGGAACACAGTGAACTGTGAACTGAAACACCATATAATGTTGCTAGAGATGAGAACAAGTAAAGGAGGGCTTGCTATGCATGCTATCTCCAGAAAAAAATCTTTGCAAATGTGTATCTGTGCAGGCATTGTGGAGCTAGGGATTACGTTATGCAGAGGGGAAGAGAAGCTGACTGACAGTACAGATTTGCAGTCCATATTGATGTTTCACAATTGTGCATCTGTCTGCAGAGCAGCCATGGAGCTCTCGAAGTCAATGCACTAAAAAAAAATAAGGAAAGATAAATCAATAACTTCACTCACCCTTTTACCACAGCTCAGAGGGTGGAGGAGGAGAGTGTCATAACAGCTCACACTAGTGAGAAAATTTTAATCGAAGCAGTCTTCAACCAGAAAATACTATTTTGATAAAATCAACATTTTTCACAAAATCGTAAGTACAAATGAAAAAATCCCTATGGAAAAGGAGGCTCAAACAACATATTCTGTATTGGAAAGTTTGCCTTAGGGAAAAAAAAAACAGATTTTCTTTCAAATTAAAATACTAATTTTGAAAGCAACCTTATCTTTTCTTATCATATTCTACTGCTTGTATTGTTTTTACAGTGTTCAGTTAATAACGAGAGACTCTGATGTGTTCAATATCCTGCCATTAGCCTGGAATCAGGTTTCTAGGATATTAAAAACAATTGGTCCCTGACTAGTACCCAGCACATTTCTTCTTCAGAGTGTAAAAATTTAAATTGTTTCATTCAGCACAGACTAATAAAGCTGGTACCACTTTTGATAGAAAACTCATTACTTGGTAGAGAAAACACTTGTTTTGAAAATAAAATATCACCTGTACTAAAAATTATATAACAGAATATTTAATTATGATATTCATGGTATGCTATGTTACTGGTAGGACTGCATAACATGTCCTCATACGAAACTTGATTTGGTATAACCTAACTCTGTGTTTAAACTGACATGTGAAACAGTACCAAAACGTAACTATTTTTCAAAACAAAACATCAGTTATTTTTCTAAAAGTGTATAATTGAAATGTTCATAATTTTCAGTTCTCAGGAATACACTAAAACCAGTATTTTTATCCCCAAGTGTAACAAGAAACTTTGAAATCATAAACTTTGAAATTTCTCTCAAAATGAACATTTCAAGTTTCATCTGGCTCTCACTTAACCTGTGATTCATTCTTTGTACTAACTTTAAATCTCCCTATTTGGAATAGTTTTAAGATTGGAGGCCTTGTCAAAAGCAATCGTCATAAATACAGAATGCACTTCATCTTAGCTGGTTCTACCAGCATTTGCTGCTAGATAGATCAGCTCATCAGTACTCATTTTCATCTCAACTTTAAGATTTTTTATATGTATTCATGGGAATCTCAAAATTATCCTCATCAGGATATATAGAAATGAGGATAAAATAAATCAGGATAAATTAAATCAATCTTGCAACCCAACCACACCCAAGAACTAGGAAGGTTTCAACTCTCCCACCGCAGCCTTGCTCACAAAATCCTGTTGCAGGGAGGACCTGGGATGGGACAGACGCTTCTCCTCCATTCCTCCGTTCATCCCATTCCACACCTGGAGAGCTTGGACCTTTCCTTTCTAGCATGTGAGCGCAGCGAGAAAAGAAAAAGATCTCCCTTCTGAAAGCACAAGTCTTCTGCTCTTTCTGCCTTCAGCGACTGCAGTGAAACGGCAGCCCAAGGCCTCCACCTAGTGTCTGCTGGCAAGCTTGGCACACCACCCCGGCTGAAAATGTGGGATCCCAGTGGGTGCCCTGAAGCTTACAGATAAAGAGCAAAGGCTTGGTTTATTTTCGAGATGGGAATATTTTCCTTACAATACAAAAACGAGTCTCGGCTCATTATGAACCACCCAAGCCTCATATGCTGTTACCTAGAACTCAAACACTAGATTCCAGTTTACATGTGGAGAATAAGATTATCTTCCCCTCCCCACCCCCCCACCCCCATCATACAGACCATGCTAAAATCCAAGGCTTTAGGAGGATGCAACACAAAAAGAGGAGAAGAGAAACTTATTGGATTAGGTAGGACTGCTCTCCCATGCCCAAGGATATCTTCTTAACCTTTCTCCATGGTGCTGCCTTCACTCCACGATCAGCCCCCAAGAAAACAAAGGACTTTCTAACACTTCAATCCCTACTAATTGAGAGACACTTAAAAATTAGGCCTGGCCTCTAGAACAGATACATGATATACAGGCACTTTCTTTCCACTTGTGTTTGACTCCCTCCTCCGCCTTCCCTTCACAGACTCGGTGGGACTTTAGGCAGAAAAAGGAATCAAGGACCCTATCACCAATTGTTTCTGCCTATCCCTTTCTCCATCCCAAGAAAAGACAGTGTGTTTGCTGTTGGGTTTTTATTTCCTCAAAGGCAGCTAAAGCAGTACAATCTTGACAGCTGTCAAAGCAGCACCCTTTCTGTTCATTGTCACCCTCATATACTGGCCTGATATGAAACTGTCCTCTACCTTCTCTGGTAAGTCCAGGATTTAAAAATCTCTAGTGCAGATGTTTCCAAAACCTTTTGTAAAATGCTGTTCCTTCCCAGTTTTAAAATGCCTCTCTTTGTCATTTGCTTCAGCTACCTTGGAGCAAGACTCCTTGTGTTCCCCCATGCTTTGATTTATGGAGGCTAGAGGCCACGTTCTCCCTCCAACAACTGTTATTAGTCATTTGGGCAAGTGGGTGCATATATGTAGATCCATATGTACACCCATTCACAAGAAAACTCTGTTAAGAGGAGCTCAGAGATTACAACATGGCCCCAGAGCTTTTTCGAATATGGAGTCACACTTGGAAACTGGAGTCACTGAAAGCCACAAAACCTCTCCAAGTCGTGAAACCTAATCCAGCTGCCCCAGTGTCCCGCTACCTCACTTCTCTCGCCTACAAAAGCCCATCGTCCTTCAGCTTCCCTGCTGCCTAATCTTTTGATATGTACATGAAATCAGGATATGTTCTATGGAGCTTAAAGCCCATTCCAGCTGAATCTGCCTGTGTGTAAAGTAAAGGTAAAAGGGAAAGGAGAAGCTGCTGATGGAAGAAATGATTGGAGCAGGTACGCACACATCACCCCTTGGGGATGATGAAGGCATTGTGCAATACAGACACTTCAGCATCCTGCTAGCATAAGACCACCAGACTGCTCTGTGGGAGCTCCACCACTGTACTGGTAGAAGCTATAGGGTAAAGACAGAGAGTATATTTTATTGACGTCACTAGCCAGCATTACTTAGAACAGGGCTAAGCACAGTTGCAAAAAGAACTGCCTCCAAGCTATTCTATTTATATTCCTACCAGAGCTACCATTGGTACAGTCATCCTGCTGCTGAAATCCTGACCCTGTTGTTGCCAGTGTAGCCACAGATCTGAGAAGATCATTTTGGTTCATTTCAGAATTTGGCATATCTTAATACCAGCAAAAGCAGCATTGGCAGGGGGTGGAGTGTGCTATTTGCACAGGACCTGCGTCAGGATTGGCATTCAGTGAATAGCAAGACATATGAAGGCATTTTATCCCAATATAGAGAATAACGCATCTTCCTCTGCATTGCTGGTGGTAACTTTGGCAGTCCAAGGAACAATGGTAATTGCTTGTTACTGTGGAAACAAGACCTCCAGAAATAACACTAATGAGCCAGCAGGGTCGTGGGAGAAACACAAGCACACTGTCTCCTGCAAACACACATGATTTGACTGCACACGAGATGGGGCTCTGGGGAGAGGATCAATTTATTTGAATGCAACAGGCACCCAGCACAACCTCCGCTTAGCCCCCATGCCAGTCTGAGTCTGCAAACAATTTAAGTAACTTGAAAAAAAGTTCAGATAACTTTGGAAATCATTGGTTTTCACCTCCCTGCCTGCCTTAAATTTTGGAGGAGTTGACTGGGAGATGCCCCCTTTGGAGGGAACCATTTTGTGGTTTGTGTAATACACCTGATAGGAAGGTGTCTCCAAAAATCTCTGGGAGGAAAAACACTTTCTTACAAATTTCCCTACCCAGTTCTGCAGATGCAAGGGATATTGGTAATCTGGGAGATGTGTCCATAAGCATCTGAATGGCAAGGTCCTTTTCCTAATAAGAGTCTGTTGGTGACCCACCACTCCACTCAAAACAAGATGAAAAGAGGAAAGTGTACAGCAGAAGAGGGGAAAGGGCATAGGATACACCAGAGAGCTTAGTGCAGCCTCAGCACACCATGTCTTTTTCCCCTTTCATGCCCTTGACAAAGAGAGGAGAAGATGGTGTAAAGGAAGCGAGATGGTGGATGGCAGCCTGTGAATGCAGCTATTTGATGCTCCACATTCTTCTGCCTTCTAAAGTCCCCAAAATGCTGCTTTCTGCCCCCAGGTGCTACTGGCACAGCAGTGTGGTGGGTGGCTGCACACTTATAGTCAGCTCAGCCTCATGTGCAAGGTGCCAATAAGTGGACCTAGTGCTCAAATTGCCCTGAAGGAGACTTCCCTCTGCCTGCCAATGGCTCTGAGGTCTTTAAGCGTTTTGCCAAACTCTGTAAGAGAAATGTTTTACCCTTGAGAAGAGCCAGTAGGAGCTGGCAGCAGAAAACAGTACCTGTGCCACCTAATGTTATAGCCTCGCTACTGCATTTGGGGTGGCCTTGCAGTAGCCCCACTGCTCACTGAACACTCCTTGCCAGCTAGGAAAGAGCCAAATTATGTTCATCAACAGCTCTCTTCAACAGCTATTTCATCTATGTCAGGCAGGTCATGGAGCAAAACACAAGCTAAGAACCATTGAGAAAGGAATTGCTGGTGTATGCAAGTCCCCCCTCAGGGCTTTACCCCTATTAGGAAGCCACATTCAGATGTACTTCCAGTGTACTCAGGATATACACACTAACCAAGTGCTGATTGGGGCCTTAGCAGAAAGTATAAACCAGCTGCTTCGTTGTTTTCTAAAAAAAATATCTACTTATGAGTGAGATTGTAGCACAGGTCAGCTCCATGGAGTAACTATTGACGCACAAGCTCTGTCACCCAGATGAATCCAAAGTGGTTTTGCTCTTCTTAGTTAAGGGTGAAGTACTTCAGATTAGCAGACAGCTACCAAGGAGCAAAGATAGGCACAGAAGCCAGAGCTGACCCAGGCCAGACAACACTTGAAACCACACCCTGCCTTAATAGGAAAGAAAGTTTTTGATTGCCCCCACCCCACCGGGGAAAGAAAAGAAGGTGTAAATGTCAGTCACAGGGAGAAGAAAGAAGTGGATGTACTCAGATGACAGGGGTTTATTTACTGATAGCTCCTGTGGCAGGTCAGGAGCTTCTCAAAAAGCAAACAGGTAGGGTCACCACTTTGCTTATTTTTGCACTCCCTCAAATAATTTTTATTTACTATTTATTTATTTGCTACACCAAGAAATCCCTGGCACCAGCACTTGCCACACTGTATGCCCACACAAAAAGCAAAGGGATGAGAAGAAAGACTGTGTGTTGTCTACGGACTAGGACCTCAGGCAGAAAGACATGCAATGACTCAACCATGGTTATCTCAGGAGTTAGTGGCAGAGCCAGTAGTTCACTGATAGCAACTTCAGTCTACACAGCCTTTGTCCAGAGCTTTAATCATAAACTCCTTTTTCCTGCAACCTAAAAGCCAGAAAGAGAACATGGGCAAGCAGTGGGAAGCAGTTTGACACATTAAATGGGAAATAAAATTCAGAAGTTAAATGATCAATATGGTGACATGTCCTTCAAATAATATTGCATTGACACAATATTGTGGGGGAGGGTTCTTTAAGGCTTTAATAATTTTATTTTCAGAAGTCTTAATGCACACTTATGTCAGTTTCTTCCCCTTCAAAAATAGAAAATAAAACCCAACAGAAAAAACAACCTGTTTAAGGCCCCAAGTCACTCTCAGACATGTACGTCAAACAAAACAAAATAGAACTATGTGTATTGAAGCCAGTAAATGAACAGCATACTCTCCAATGCTGAGCTGCTGGGACCCCAGTTCAGGATTTCTGCGTTTCCCCAGCAACAGCGGGTGACACTGCAGGCACCGGAGCAGAGCCAGGTCCAGCAGCTCCCGGAGAGTCAAGCCGGTTTGGAGCTGCAGCTGGGGAAGGATGGAGCCAGTTGAATAAGGGAGGAAATTGCCCCAAACACTGCTCCTTTCAAAGGAAGAAAACAAGAGTTTAAATCTGTATGGCCTCCCTCTGATCTGGTTACGTGAGCAGCTGCCCAGTGTATAAGAACCTCATAGATGTTAAAGAAAGAGAGGAGAAATGAAACCCAATTTGGATAACGATTTCTGAGGTTGCGGACACATATTTGCCTAGAGCACCCCGCCCCTCCAAATCCAGAAGGTTACCATGGTGACAAATTTCAGCTGTAGGTAAGAAGAAAATGTTTCTGTATGAAAGCCATTTTGTAGAAACATAAAAAAACCAAAGATTAAGCACCATTGTGCCGTTTATGATCTTTGTTGCCATATATTCACAACTAGATGAGCTTTCTCATCTCAGGAATGGTTAATCACAATGCAAATAAGCTTCTTTTGTTTTAATTCATGTGTTCTGCTAATGGCGTTCATCTCCACACAGTAAAATAATGCTCTCAAAATTTACCGAAAAATGGGGGTATTCATTTGCTTCCAAACTGCATCTAAGGGAGTTATTAATGCTTTTGAATCTCAGAAGACAGAAGTATTCCATTGCCTGACTGCG